CTGGTAGAGTAAGGGATAAAGTTGATTGGGTTGTGATCGTGTAGAATAAACTAAGGAAAATTATTCAGTTGCATAGTACTATAGAACCAATTCACCGGGAGGAAGGTATGTCAGATTTTAGCATTCAGGGTGGCACAAACGATGAAATGTTTTGTGCTAGAAGATGCTACGGGGATTTTTGAGGAGACTTCTCATATTATGGATGAGGATGAGGATAATGATGAGAGTGAAGAAGAAATTTTAAGCTCATCTTCGACGACGATTTCCTTTGATAAAATTTAATAACATAGGTACGTAATTTTAGATTAGTTATTACTACTGCTACTTTTTGTCTTTTACTTTTGTTGTATTGAAGTATAGCTTTTTAATCACGTTTTTCCTGTTTTAGAAATAGTTGTTACTTCTGTCTTACCTTTACTACATTGTTTCTTCCAGCTTATGATTATTTTTCCAGCTAGTACTAATCTCATTAATGTCATTCCTTTGTTTGTAGATGGACATAAGTGGTGCAGATGGTCATCCACATCAGAGACCCTGTGTTCTAGGGACATACTCCTACCATTGCTTCCACTACTGCTCCCCACCTATTGCTGCTACACCTCCTGTGGCACCTCCTCCCCCACCTGCTGCTGCTACACCACTTGTGACACCTCCCGCATCCGTTGTTGTCACCACTCCTGCCGCACCTGCTTCTAGCAACCCCGTCTCCTGTGACGCATGTTGTTTTCGCACCTACACCCCCACCTGCTACGGGCACACCTCTTGAGTCTGGCACGTCGACTCCTGACTCGTAAGTTATTTTTAATATTGTATTATGTTTATTCTTCATGCTATATGTTTTTGTATATAAAAAATAAGTTTCTTAAGCAAATTCATTTCAAACAAGCTACCCGTCACCTACATCACAGAGATTATCAGAAGCAGATACGATGGGCCCTATCACTCATGGAAGCAAATCCCTGTAGCCACTTTGGACTTGTGATTCAGGAAGTTTGAGATACGATAATGTAATTTGAATCATATTTGTAAATTTAATACTTGAATTATTTTTTATGTTACAGATGTCCTTCACCTAGCTCCCAGAGCACCACCATCAAATTTGCCTAATCTTTGACATTTGGGGTAGACATCGCCTTGGCGACATGTTCATGATAGCCCGCCGGCGGGGTGAGCTGTCTGCTCGGATCGGTGAGGGGCTCTGGGCTCAGTTGATCGCAGCCTGGGGCCTCTCCTGATTTTGAGGGGAAGAGGCAGACGAACCGAGCGAAACGGACGACAAAGGGGGTCAGGGGAGTTGTACTTTATATTGGCAAATCAATCCCCCATACAGAGCATTATAGGAGGCTGTTAAGATTCTTTTAAATATTTAAAAATTAATTCAGTCTTTGAATTAATTTTGTAACACTGATCAATTTTGTATGCTACATAGGCCAAGGAGTTAAGCCATGCTCTCTTCATCGTTGCTCAGGGACTGCCTAATGGATCTCGAAGCATTCCCAACGGGTTGCTGTAAGTTAAAAATCTTCAATTAAAAGTTTATTTTGATTCAAACTGTTCATAATGTCAATTAAACGCTGGTTTTAATTATGCAGGAAGAGTTCAAGCAACTCCGAGAGAAGCACTTGGCCACTTAAGCCCAGTCTTTTGCCACCAGCAGTGGTAGTGAGTCTACCGCTGCACAGTCCAAATACGAGTTTTGGAGGAGGAGGGAAAGAAGAAGGGGAGGATTTATGGCCTTGGAGCGAAGGGCATAACTTTTGAGGCCTAGCTCTCTCATGGTCCTGTATTGAGTTCCCCGAGCTCCACAGCCAGACCATGAGGCTCTTGTCAGGCTAGTGGCTGCAATGAACGAAGAGATCCACCAGTTGTGCAAGCAGATGGTAGAAGGCCAATATAGAGTCGAGGACTCTATAGCCCGCATGACGGAAACTTTATCACATATCGTCAGGGCAAGCGGCCAGTGGCATCCGTAGACGAGGAGGGACATAATGAGTAGTTTATTTTTATGTTATCTTTTAGTTGTAAGCACTAACTTAAACATTATTGAGGAATTTTTTATTAGCTTTAATATTCTTATTTGAGTGGTTTGTCAAAGTATCTTATTTTTCATTAATGATATTTTTATAGCATTGATCTGTGATATGGCAAGATATAATGTGATGTAAAAATATAATTGATATTGTGTGTAAGTTGTGAAAATGTAATTGATCTTCTGGGTTTTTTTAGTGGTACAGGTTTGCGTTAGATTACTATCCATTTTGCATCAAAAAATTCGACGCAAAATCGACAATAATATTACGTTGTTGATCGATATTATCCGACACAAAATTTGATGGTAATCTTATGATAATCTTTATCGTCCGATGTTTTTCAGACGTTGCGTCGGAATATTTCGACGCAAAATTGACATAATTAACATAGCCGACCCCAATTAACCCACGAAAAAGTTTGGACATAAATCAGAAGCAAATCCAACCATAAAACAAAATTATCATCATATTTGCCTTCAATTTGCGTCTGACTTGGCCGATACAAAATTGCTTAATTCCTGTAGTGATATTGCACATTATTAAGTGCCAATTTTATGATTTAAAGAAATAAAAAATAAAATGTGATAACAATAAATAGAACAAAAACATATTTAAATTTATGAAATTGTGAATTTATAATTGTTATGACTAAAAATTATTACTTAAGATTCACAAGATGTAAAAATTACTATGGGAATTTAATATGATAATAAATCAGCCGTCAAATTTGCACATAATCTAATGCAGTATAATCAAACAAAGCAAGGGTAGAAAATAGCCTATTCTGTACTCCATTCATAGCTGCAGACAAACAACTTGATATATTCTCACCAAAGAAGTTACTCAGAAAAAGTGAAATGAATTTCATAAATTATCAAAAAAAAAAAAGAGCTTGCAATGAATAACACTCATTAATTTGCTCATGCGAAAAGTGAAATTCCGGTAAATTTTTTGCCATATAGGATCCAAACTCATCAAGTTTTTTAATATCATTCTTCTACACTGCTACCTTATTGATCCGCAAAATCCCTACTGCGTACTAATCAATTCGTGGATTAATATAATTAATATGAGTATATTATGTGATTTCATATTTTCCTAGGATTGTCTAAACGATGAACATCTTGAAATAAAATGCACTTACCAATTCTTGTCACTTTCTTCTAAACCAAATACCATCACTTTTAAATCTATTAGATGAAGTTATTGCTTTTAGGCTCGTTATCATGAAAACATTTGCAATGATTTATTTCTTAATGCACATGATCAAGCAAATTTCATGCTCCGTAACTGCACATGCAAAAATTATATTATTTCATGCAATTTTTCATATAAATAAATAATGTCCGCTAGCAAATGATAAAGAAATGATATATATGAATACTTATATGTAGATGTTGAAAGATAGTTACCCATTTATAATATTAGTGAGTGGTTCGTGATCTTTTGGTGGATTAACAGTTTAACAAGGATACAGACCATTAGTTTTATGTTCAATAAAGTATTCTGATGAAGGCCAAAATCAATCCAGATTGTGGTAATAAGTATTCTGAAGGCCAAAATCAATAGAGTTGTAAATTTGGATGTTCAATAAAGTATTCTAAACCCTGATGATAAATTTAGAGAGGTATAGTTGTCAGAAAGCCAAAATCAATCCAGATTGTGGTAATATGGGATGATTTGGAGGTTCAATTTAGGGAATATATTTTAGGAGAGAGAAATAGCAGAAAAACTTTGTAGACATTTAGTTTTTGATGTGCACTTGTAATCTAGAATAGAAGATTATGTTTGATAAGAGTTTAAATATGTATCGAGGCATAGGGAATAAAAGTGCCACACGGCTGAGAGCAAGAAGTGGGGCTTTAGAGTGGGTGAGGCTTAAGTTGGACTTTGGGTGATCTTGGAGAAGTCGTGGAATGTACAATGATTTGAAACAGTTTAAGAGAAGCAGAGAATAACTTGAAAGAAAGAAAATAAATAATCCATTCTCACCAATAAAAAAAACACATATTTCAAGCCACTAAACATCGAGCAATGAAAAATACTTCTTGACACAAATAATTCATTCCAAAATAAAAACATTGATACTTCTCAGCTCATATTTATAGTCACTAAAATACTCATAAGCTTAAGAACATAAGAAAGAAAATAGTGAAAAAAGAAGTCAATCGTCATTAATAAAGGTTTAATCACTCATTTCAAGGCCAGCCATACAAGTTCCCAGGAGAGAAATAAAAATATAAGAAAAATAAATATAAATTACATTTAAAATATTCTAATTTATGAACTTTATTAGGCTTCTGTCCAGGCACCAGGACTTCAATTTTTTTTCCTTTAGGCTTTAGCTTTAACGATTAAAAATTAGAATTTTAACTTGATTTTTTTTATCTATATAATGTGTTATATCGACTCCCCAGGGCTCAATTGAATTAAGTTCTATGTTTTAAAATTCAAGTCTTCTGCCAATTGTAAGATTAGAGTTTCCAAATTGGTGCAGGCCAGTTATATGCTATCAGTAAGTGGCTTATTCTTCTAATAAACTAGATAAACATACTCAATAACTAGGTTAGTGTGTCATTCCTCATTGATGCATAATCAACCTCTATGATAGATTCCGTAAGTTCAAATGAATATTTTTTGCCAAAAGGATCAAATTGCAGAAGTAAATATTTGAATACTCCATAAAATATATAACTTTCAGTAAGTCAGAAATGAAAACCTAATAGATTCATTTTTTTTTTTAATTTTGAAAGTAATTTCTTAAACTTGGTAGAGTGATATTACTTAAAAGTAAATGGAAATCAAACTATAGACTTCTTTATATTCTTTTGTTATTATGGTT